TTCAAAGGATAAAAGGGTAATTTTATTATATTAATTCATAATAAATTGTATCCAGTGATATAATAAAAAACACATGCCATATATTTCATGTTAATAAATGAGTGGAGGTTGAAAACAAGACAATTTCTTATGTAAAAAGACAAGTTATATATTATGCACTAAATTATTGATTCACACTAAGTTGTGGATTGGTTTAGATTTTTCTTTAAATATAAGAAAATACTCAAATATTGCTATTTTTTTAATGGAAAAAAAATTAAACCTCACAAGGGTTGATTTAATATAACTCAATTGACTTTATGGGTTTAAAAAAAACTTGTATAACTTGTAAAAATATAGTTTGACTAAAAATAATTTTAAAATGATATTGTTTTAATATTAAGATAACAAGACATTAAATTAACTTAGGTTAATCCGAGTTAACTTGTCAAATTCATGATCCGGGTTATGAGACTATGATAACCCAATAAAAATCAAATCAAAATAAACTATGAAGTCCAATTTTTAATTTATCTAATATTAAAGGATGCAATTGAAAAACAAATCAATTAAAAAAAAGACATAAAAAGTTACCTGAGTTAGCATATTAAACCCACGACCTAAATTATAAGACCGAAATAACTTCATAAAAAATAAATCAAAATAAATTATGAATTTCAATCCTTAGTCAACCCAACTTTGAAAAATGATATCAAAAGAAGAAATCGATTAAAAAAATATAAAAATAATACGAGTCAATCCACAAAATTCATGACTTGAGTAAATAAACTGAGATAACCTTGTAAAAAAAATTATTTAACTCAGGTTGACCTGCCAAGTCTATGATTTGATCATATGATTGAGATAATCCTATAAAAAACAAAACAAAAAAAAATTATAAAGCTTAATTTTTAATCGTTTCTGTCAGACACAATGTTAAAACACTAAAACCCAGAACCTTAATTGTGAGACCAATATATCTCCATAAAAAGCAAATCAAAACAAATTACAAAACTCAGTTTTCCATTAACCTAGTGTTGAATGATGAAATTGAATAAAAAAATAAATTAAAAAAGAACACAACTGACTCGATCCATCACAATTAACCCATCAAGCATTATTTTCAAGTCATGAGTTGAAATAACATAATAGAAAGTAAATAAAACAAATCACGAAGTTTAATTCTTAATCAATCCAATATTGAATGATAAAATTAAAAAAATAATTAAGAAAAAAAGTTTGAGTCAATTAAGATAACTCGAGATTCATGTCATAACAATGTAACAACTCAATAAAAAAAATATAATATTAAAAGATAAAATAAAAAATTAATTTGAAAAAAATCAGATAAATGAAAAAAATAAGGAGGGTGTATGATAAAACTCCAATCAATTTAATATCAAAAAATAAAATTGAAAAGAAAATTAAATAAGGAAAAGAAAAGAAAAACTAAATCAATCGAGTTAACTCATCAAATCTACAACTCATGTTATAAAAGTATGATAAATTAATAAAAAAACAAAGTTAACATTAAATGATAAAATTTTAAAAATAATTAAAAAAAGCAAAAAATAAAAGATGAAAAAAGCAAACCACAATAGTACGTACAATAATAATAATTTGTTATTGAATCCCGCCTGCTGCTAGAATCTAAACAACACCATTTTCGTTTGACATCTTTGTTTTGGTTAGAAACGGTGATGTTTAGGACATGCCATGATCTAAACACCACATGATGAATCCTGTATTTTACTAGAACCTAAAAAACGCAGTTTTTTGCTGCATCATTGTTTTGGTTAGAAATGATGATATTTACGGCTTGTCTAGATCTAAATACCACATGAAAAGATACGAGATGACATGCCCCCGCACGCTATCGCAGGCTTATAAAACAAATATACTTGATAATGTTATAATTATTAAGTAACGCTAGATAAGTAATGGAAACTAAAGGTATGATAAAGCAAAATTTTATGACAAAAAAAA